TAAAGAAAATTGGAATAATCCAAGATGGCACATGTAGATTCTGCAAAGAAGCAGAAGAGACACCAACACACTTACTAACAAACTGCGGAGCTACACTAGCCCGCAGGAGGAAGTGTTTTGGGATGTACAATGTGACCATAAAAGAACTACAACCACTGAAACCGGGCCTATTAATCAAGTTTCTTGATGAAATAGGACTCACCGATGTGCTTTAAGCAGAGCACAGGGGATACAATAGCTCTTAAAGGGCGCAGTATACCATACCCTGAATTATTACATCTATCTATCTATCTATCAGTCTGGAAGCCCCAGTCGACATGTTTAGCGTTGAAATCACTGCCTGCAATGAACCTTTCGCCTAGGTACTCTAGTAGTCTCGAGTAATCTGAACACTTTAAATTGTGATTTGGCGAGCAATATACTGCGCCAATAGCTATTTTCTGTTTGACAGAGTTAAGTACGACGACGGTGAGTTGGATCTCATCAGTTTGAAGAGAACGATCCTCGAAGTGTCGTATGTTGTCCTTTATGATGATAGCGCTACCACCGTTAGGGTTGTTATAAGGATGGATGGTGTGATATATTCGGTAGCCATTTAATTTTAAAAATGACTGTTTTGTTAGGTGGGTTTCAGTTACTAAGCAAATATCAATTTCCTGCATATTTAGAAATATTTCAAGTTCTTGTTTTTTCTCTAGTACGCCATTTGCATTCCAAGTTGCTATTTTAAGATCTTGTCGGCTCATCATTTGAAACAAATTTTGCTTCTAGTCTTTCTAGCCGCTCTGAAAGTTTGGTAATTGCGGTGGTTATGTTGGCCATCATTTCCACCATGTGCTGCTGATTGTACGGTGACATTGTTTGTTCTGGGATGTCTGTACGGGCTGCTTGAGCGAAGGTTACTCCTTTTTTACTTGAGCTGGGCCGAGGAGCCCTTACTACTAGAGAATCACTTTTATTAGTTGATTTTATGTGGTTTTTCCTTTTTTGTAATTCTTTTGCAATCATGCATCCTCTGTAATTTGCGGGATGATCACCTGCACAGTTATGGCATTTTGGAACTTCTTCTTTCGGCTTAGAGCAGTTTGCTGTTAGGTGTTCGCCAGCACATTGGTTACAATATTTTTGTGTATGACCATATCGTTGACATTTTTTGCACTGAGGAATCATCTTGCTGTTTTTGATGGCTTCCATTTTGACTTTCATATGGCATATTTGTTGTATTTCGAAAATCTTTTTAATATCTTCGGTATTTTAAAAACTGAGCATGAACAAAGGAAGCGGAGTTATCTTTTCAACTCCGTTTTCCTTCGACTTTGGAGGAAAGTTACAATATCTATTGGATCACAAGATGGGTGTAAATTCCTGGCCATGACTCTTATGGGCCTGGTTTGTTTGTTTTCATATGTATGCCACTCCATGTTTTTTGAGGTGTTCATGAGTTCTGTAATTCTCCTATACTCAGTTTCGTTGTCAACATTAATTTTTATTTGGTCATTGTTCATGAGTTTAGCTTTAAAGTTAATTTTTTGTCCTTGAAGAGCTTCATATATTGGCTTCATATCAGTCACACTGCTTAGTACTATGGGTGGTGGCCTTTGCACTTTTGCTTGTGTTTTGTCATCTGTTATCAACTGATTTTTTGACTAAATCAAAAGTATTAATTGAAGTTTTCATCTCACATTTTTCAGGAGAAGACATGAATTTTCTTTTTTTATTCTTTTGAACGAGCCATGCCCTTTCTTTGGCTACTATTTCTTCTTCATCAGAAGTTGGTTGTGTGAAATTTTTTTCAGTCTGGCTCGGTGTTGATTTTTGTTCCGTTCCAGTTAGGGACTTAATTGAAGGGCATTTATTTGTTCTGTCTTTCCCATCTTTTCGATCCTTTCCTAACCGGTCAGGATAGAGAGCGGAGACGAGTTGGGTAGGGGGGAAGGAGTAAGAGTGAGATTTTGAACGCTCGGAATTTTCCGAGACGTTATAATAAGAAGCGTTTCCCTACCTTTTTCTGCTGACAAGGCAGTCCTTATGAAGTGTAACTGGCCTACTTCTGGTGCAGTTTTCAATTTCTTTACGTTCGTTACAATAATTAAATTGTTGTTTTAAGTTAGAAACACTACAATTTTTACACACTATTTCCACAACACACTATTGATAAGGTCAACTGGGGAAGTTTCAGATCAATTTTCGTAGGATAAACCATCGAAAAGAGAAACTTTTGTAGAGCAAAACAAAAGACGTCTGATCACGTTAAACGCCATGGCGCGACTCAAGTACTCCACAAATGGAACAAAAAAAACCCGTCACCCTGAGGTTGATATTATGACTGTGTTGCTGCGAGCCCCGACAAAAAAAGTATACTTGAGCAGATGTATAGCGTCGCATTCCCAGTAATGGTTGTAGGATGCTTTACAAATTGCGGTTAATATACAATAAACACTTTTAAGTGGGGTATACAACTATAAAATGTTCTCATTACCAGTTGTTTCTCTTGCTCTCGACCAAAGCAAGACTCCCAGTTAAGGCGTTGATCAACAATTTATTGTCAAACTTTAATAAAAAATAACAGCTCGCCTTGAGCCAAGAGTGTTTCTCTGTTTACTCTACATGAAAACATTTTTTTTTATTCAGCTAGTTTGAAATTTTTTAAGGTCTTAAAGTTGGTAAGGGGAAGGGCATGGGAGATAGAAGAGGAAGTGAATTCCAGAGGCTGGAATGAAAGGATGAGGAAGAAACGACAGAAAGTAGTTCCGTGTTTAGGAGGTTAGAGATCATATGACATATATAATGAGGGGAGGGTGAAGATATTGTTTGTTAATTTCCGATTTGAGAGTTAGCGACTTTGGAATGTTGCTATTTCAAATCGATTTCGTGTATCAATCTTCTTAAAATTTGGAGAAAACATCCACAAAACCTTTATAAAACAGGAAATATCAAAAGTATAAATAATATTTTTTTCGATATATCCAAATTGAAGCCTCGGTTGTGTCGAGAGTTGCGAGTTAGCGACTTTGGCCTGATGGAACTTCAAATTGATTTCGTGTATCAATCTTAAAATTTGGTCAAAATATCCACAAAACCTTTATAAAGCTAAGGAAATAACAAGTCTAAAAAATATTTTTTTTTCGATTTATCGAAATTGAAACCTCG